CTCCCCAAGTCTCAGACTCGCAGCCTGAGCCTGAGGAGAGCATCAAAAGTCAAAAGCTGTTTAAAAAGTCATCCAAGCAGACATATTTTTTCTGTTTGGACTAATAAAAATGCAAACCCATGTACCCGGGTACATACAATTGTAAACAAATCAATGACTTTATTGACTTTAAAAACTTTCATCAGTACGCATACATTCAGTGGGAAACTGTGAAAACATGTTTACACGTGATGTACTGTACTGGTTATTGCTTTCCCGATCCACAACCACCACACACTTTTCATAAAGCTGTACATGATGTACGTGTACATATCTGATGTACAGTACATGTAGTTAGAAGGGGGAAGCAAATCAAGCAGAGGAGATCAAATATTTTTCATGATGACAAAGGGAAAATGCTAATTTTAGTTGGATCTTGATCCAAATCTACGGACTAGGCCTACAACTTGTCTAGAGTCTACAGTCAAACTCATAGTCATAGACCTAGGCTAGTCTAGGTCTATTAAAAAAAACTCTGCATCCGTCATTCAAAAAGTCAACAATGCACAAAGTCTACGAGTAATAATAAGGAAAATGCTTGGCAAAATCTGAGTGAAAAAGGAGTTTGAGGCTTGTTCACTGACAGTGACACTAGTTTAGTCGATGAGAGTCAAGTCATTCATTGATCAAATTTTGATTTTTGTAATCAATTTTTCATGTTTTTATTTGAGATAAATAATAATTAAATTCTAGATTAGCTTGGCCCCCCGTTCTAAACTTCAACAATACAAAATATAGATCCAGGACCACACACTAGATTAGGTTAATCTCAATTTCTGTACCAGTGCCAAGGCAAACAAAAATATGCAATGGGTGTTTACTGTTTACTCACTTCGACATTCCGTATTTCATACTGTGTTAGCTCGCTGGATGGCAACTTGCGGAGGCCATTCAAGTTTGTGATCCGCACTTCGATCACCGACTGCATGTCTTGAAGTTGCATGAGTTGCAGCGACGATAAAGACTCCCCAGACATGATTTAATTCCGTTCTCGTGGACAATCGGTGGGAAAAGGGATACCTAATTAAGCCACATGTATGCAAACAAAGATTAGGAACGACGAATAAATCCAAATATCATTCATTTCTCTGTTAGATATCCACGAAGAGTTGTCGCATTATCCATGGTTCGCACGCATCATGCATTCTACGCAAAAATGTTATCCGAACAGTATATCGCATCGGAAATTCACAGTGGAGCCTCGGTTATCGTTCGGCGCTTGTAGTCTTTGCGGCTCGTTAGCGAGAGCTAGGGCATTTACAGCATAGAGCATAGACGGGATTCGTCGATTATATATTGAGGGAGATCATTTATAGAAATTGATATAATGATCTACATTTCTGTATTTCATCACGTATTATTCCATTTATAGTTATTCAAATTTGTATAAATTATACAATTTCTGTTTAAAATATATATAAAACTATGGTACATTAATTTGTATACAAAATATATACAACAAGTTACCTTTATTTATTAATAGACTGTTCCCATACGTTAAGGTCAATTAAATTTATCTTTTTTTTCGCAGGATCTGTAAGGCCCATCAAGCATTCTTTGGGGCTGCAGCTCCCCGAAAGGTGTAAAAACATTCGAAGTGACCATTTGTAATGTAAACTAATGTTTACAAATCTTGTTTGGTATATTTTTATGACGAAAGTATATATATATTCACTCTAATAAAGAGAGTTATGATTTTTGTTCATTCTCTCGTAAAATTAGGAACTAAAAAGTTAATCAATATTCAAACAAAAGACGTCGGCCCCTGTCGAAATTATGCATTCATTTAATAAGTTTAACAGATTTGTTTTTGTTTTAATTAAAAAATTGACTTAGGATAGGAAAGGCCTCATGACATCTCTAATTCTCGATCATCACTATTTTGCATTCTCCTTGGAACTCCCCAATTTTAGGCCTCGTTAATTCATAGAACATAAGATAAGCAAACGAGCAGTGGCGGTTCTTTGAAAGATATTTTGTTCATACTTTGAAAAATCAAACTAGACATTGTTCATAGGCCCCATCAAAATTTATTCTTTTCAATCTGTGTCACTGGCGTCCTTGCGTTCACAGGGGGAGCCTGCATGTGGGCTGCATCCCCAACGTTCTGAGACCAGCTCAAAAGAGAAAACGCAAAAAAGATAAGATGGAAAAATTATAAAAGATATCATTTTGTTGTGACCCGGCCCGCTGCGACCATCTTTCGTAATGATTCAATTCGTTCCAAATAGTAGGATCTATATCCTTAATGAATATTTCGCCAAGCCATTTGTCAGCTGAGTTGTATAAGGCCTAAATGTCTCTCGTCTTTTTTTATCTATATATTTTACCCGATTTGAATACACCGCTGTCCATAAAATTGGGCTACATTTTTGTTTATCTCTTTTCTTGATGTGATTGTGAAAATATGATTTATTCTCGATAAACAAAGTTTATATTCTCAGAACTTTATTAATCCATCTAAATAGTCATAAATAGATGTAGTCTATTATATGCAAGGCGCCCTCATCCGACATGTCCCCACACAATTTTGTGTTTGCTTGGTGAAGCCTTGGCGTGACACTCTTGAAATTTTAGTAGCCTAAAGTTATTGATCATTAAATATTAATCATTAGTACATTTCTGAGAAGAAGAAGACTTCAATCAAGAATAAACCATATGATGTCACAATCATTTCATATAAAGAGATGAGAATAGATAATCCAATCAACATGCCCTTTAAATATTTTTTTAATTATTATTATTATTTCAGGTGTCTTTTCAGAATATCTAAAGCTACATTTTCGGATTAACACCATCCCATAATTACATAACTTTTAGATACAATAAATACTTGTATCACAAGTTCCTTACAAATTTTGTTGAAAAATAGGAAGGGAATTTCTCATGCACCTCAAGCGCAGTCAATTTGAGTCAATTCAGTAAAAAAAAAAAAAAAAAAAAAAAAAAAAAAGACTATTTATGTCCCCCCCCCCCCCCCCCCCCCCCCCCCCCATTTATATCATGCATCATTAAGTTATTTTCAAAGCTGAGGGAAGACTTGTAAAATATATCACTGAAAGTAAGGCATCAAGTACGGGAAAATAGGGAACACCGTCCACCCACATATCTGTAAATGAAAACGAATATATTATAGTGCATTTAAATGGAAATCCACCTTGATAACGAACACGTTATCCTAAGTTGGTTTTGAATAAATCAGTGAAAGTTGAGCAAGAAACAATAACGTTTTGAACTTTGAAGTTGCAATCGATCAAACTGATTAATCTGCATAATTTTGTATTCTGTTATTTATATTGTTTATACCATGTATTCAGGCACGTAGCCACGGGGGGGGGGGGGGGCACGTGCCCCCAAAATTTCCAGGATCGGTTGAACTTTTTTAGACCCCTTTTTATGTGCCCCCCAAAACATCAAACTCTGGCTACATGCCTGCATGTATTTGTTTCCTTTACTGGGAACTACTCCATACAAGTTTTCATAATTTTTTTTTGTAGTTTTCGTTTTTTCTCTTACTATGTATATTTGCCATTTTTGTATAAATATTAAAATATTGTTTTTATGCTTGAGGAGAGTTAATAAACTAAACTGAACTGAACTGATATAAATGGGCGACTCTTTGAGATATATACCGAGATCCTCCCCCATTTAATATGTTATAAAAATACATGAGTTTTTTCTAGAAATTCTGTTCAATTAAACATAATTATAGTAATATTTTAATCAATCCATATAACGTTTTTATTTTCCTCTATATAGGCCTATCATGAAACTATTCTATTTTTCGATCGATAACTATAATAAAGTGGATTTTTTTTTGAAATGTTTAGGTTTTTGTTTGTTTGTTTGTTGTTGATACAAGTGTGAGAGGATCGCGGAAGATGCATCAGAAACTAACCCCTATTTGTGTTTCATTCATTTCAACTTTGACAATTCAAGACTTTCTTAATTTTAATCGGATGCCTTGTTGAGAAAACTTTCATTAAAATCCGAGTGTTTCCCTCATGTTTCTTTTCATAGTGAAATACCAACTAAATATTTAGGTGGACTTTCCCACATGGACATGCAAAGATTTACTATTAAAAATCATAAGTGGAAAACCTTTTTTTTCGGTCGCTAAACTTTCTCGTAAAGATCATGTAAAGTTGCCAAACAATTTGAGAGGCCTCTGGGTAATAAGAGAAGAAACACATGCAAGATCTTTAATACGGTTCAAGGTTGGGATTACTTGTGGATGAAAATGATCATTTTGATTGGAAACAAGCCTAGGCCTCGGTCCCTCGGATATAATATGACCAGAGTGAACTTTAGCTCATTAGGGGAAGTTGTTATAAGGGTATATAACTGATGTGCGACTGCCTACCTAAGATTTTTTTGGTTTAATGGGACATTGAGCTAAGAGTTTGGTTTGCCTTTCACTCTCCACTGCAGAGTTTGAAACTAAATTTACAAAACGTAAAACCAAGGGCGCTACTCAAAGGGATCCCCCCTTCTTTTTTTTCTTTTTTTTTTTTTTTTTTGGGGGGGGGGGGGGTACCTGAGGAATATATAAATTCCAACTGTCTCAACCCCTAAAAATTGTTGGCCCATTTAGGCCGCTATGTGTGTTTGTGCGGGGGGGGGGGGGGGTACCCTGTCTACCCTATACTGGATTTTCATGACTATGTGCGTATATTTGTGATTGCTGGTGTGCCTTTTGAAACGGCCCAAGATTGATTCGTCTAAAAAAAAGGTGGGGGGGGGGACCAATCGGTATACTTTTCAAAGGAGTTTTATAGGAAGACATTTCATTAACTTATTCCTAGGAAATATATTATTCTCTAACCAGGGAGGTGAGACAAATCTCACTTTCCTCTAACTTTGCATTTTTCGCAAACTTCAGTTTGATTTCTTTTTCAATATAATATACACTGTAGTTTGTACATGAATAATTATCTCTAATTTGCTATCACGATATTCCTCTTCCATCCTAGAAGAAAAAAATTCACAGAAAGAAGAAAGGTCACAGGTGGCGCGCCAAAAGCAAAGTGAAAATGAGTCGTGCAAATGAACACAAGAATTTACCATGGTAAGCCTTTTATTTTTAATTTAATGGCTTTTAAACGTTTGTGTAGTCAATTTACCCACGAATGTGTCTCTAACTTTCAGCCACTAGCTTTCGTAAATGATTTTATGTCGCTGATTGTCAATCTCTCGACACAATGAATGACACAAAAAACGGTAGACGGGACTACAGTAGGAGGTCTACAGTCTTTTGTACAGACGATGTGTTTTGATTTGAAGACTGACTCGACTGCAAGATGTGGCTGTATGTTTGCAGTGCAGTGTGTGTGTACCATATATGTATATGTTTTAGAGGATCTAATTCTCTTAATGTGACACACAAATGACAGAAAAAGACCAGTGAAAGTTTGTTGAAAGTCTGATAAAATCCAAAGAAGAAGAAAGTTATTCACAATTTAATTGATCAAAAAGATTCAAAAGGATAGTTTCAAAGGCACATTTGTAACCCTGTCAGTCTGTGTTTACGCTTTTACCTTTTGAATTTGAGCACCTCTCTGTTTTGTGTTGTACAGAAAATTAATAAATTACCATTTTCATGGCAATTAGTGTTGTAAAATGACTTTCAATGATCATTTATCTCCGTTTACAGGGTGGAGAAGTATCGACCCAACTCGCTAGACGACCTTATCTCACATACAGAAATCATCAACACCAGTAAGTGAAAGTATGGCCTAGTATTTGCCTCCAATTTTAATTCATTGGAGAGGCAGAGGCTCCCTCATTTAAAACAAAAATAAAAGCAAAACTAAAGGAAGGGCACCAGCATGATTGATGGCTCAGTGGTAGAGCAGTGTTCTCGAAACTGGAAGGTCCTGGGTTAAAGTCGATTCATTAGTGCTCTTTGGGAAGGCATTGCCATTAATTCTCATTACATCTACAAGCATATTCATGCTTTTTTAGTTCTTGGAAGTCAGGTAATATAGACTAACAAATGAAAAGAGAAAAAAAAACGAACGAAAAACAACTGCTCACTGCTCACTTATGTCATAGCCACACAGGCAAATTCTGTGTCATCTTAGAAGCACTCTTCCTGGCTCCAAGATGTTTCAGAAATTTGCCTGCATGGCATAAGCATAGATGAGCAGTGGTCAAACACTTCACTTACTATACTTTATACACGATGTTGTAGGTCTAAGCCTGTTCATTGATCCAGGATTCTTCCATGGTTACTGTAAAGGGATGATTTTACTCAGGGGGGGGGGGGGGGGGATAGCTTATATCTTTTAGCCTTTTTTTGTTCTAAGGTGGGAATAGAATTCTAGGCATGCTATAAGAAAATTAACATTCATTTTTTCAAACAAAACATTGACCATATTTCTTAAAATCTTCAAAGGATATATTTTCTTGAATTCTCAACCAGAATTAAGATGAGGAGGAGGAGGAGGATAGTGACAACAGCAACAGCAATAACATCAATAGTGGGTTCTTGTATAGCACCCATGTCTGTCAGACTTTACACTATGTACTTTCTTTTTAACTTCTGATTGCAGTTCAGAAGTTCATCAAGCAAGATCGCCTGCCCCACCTACTCTTCTATGGACCCCCAGGAACGGGGAAAACATCCACCATCTTGGCAGTTGCTAAGCAACTGTACGCTCCCAAGGAGTTCAACTCGATGGTCTTGGAGGTAAGTATTGTTCCCAGGATCCTCAAAGGAAGTTTCTTGACCATTCGTCTTTTTCATTTTGTTATTACCTTGTCTGTAGTACATGTAGGTGCTCTCAATCAGTTAACCCATTGTCTGAATGAGCGATCTTTAATTCCCTCTTTAAACTGGCACGAACAACATTTGTCTTACATTGTCGTAAGTAAATCAAATTATCAAAATCCTCTTTAGGGAGTCAGAAGGGCGCTAACTATGTGTACAAGTAAGTTAATGCCCTTCTGATTCTCAACAGAGAAAATGAAGCAGCCTTAGAAATGAAGTTTCAAAATACAACAGGGAAATACTAATTTGTTACTAACACACATAGTGACTAAAGATTCTACTGTGTAACAATTTTAAAACCTCTAATCATTTATATATGATTTTGCTTTGCCTGCTCTTATGTTAGTCATATTATTCTAAATCAAAAGTTGCAAAAATGTCCCTAAAAGGCGAATACACCGCTTGTCCATAAAATTGGGCTACAAATTTGTTTATCTTTTTTCTTGAAGTGATTGTGAAATATGATTAATTCTTGATAGATAAAGTTTATATTCTCAGAACTTTATTAATCCATCTATTAATGGATTAACACTGTCTATGACTTGAAAGGAATAACGTATTTCTTTTGCAATGGTTACTGCAACAACAATCATGAGTTCTTTCAAACAGTCTTAACTGACAAAGTCTCCTGTCATCGTTCTTAGCTCAATGCGTCAGATGACCGAGGTATCGGCATTGTCAGAGGTAGCATCTTGAACTTTGCCAGCACCAGGACCATCTTCAAATCGGGCTTCAAGCTGGTCATCTTGGATGAAGCCGACGCCATGACCAACGATGCACAGAATGCACTCAGGAGAGGTAAAAATACATTTTAAGCAATTTATTTTTATTTAATTAGTTTTAAAAAAGGTGCGAGTGAACATTTTGACTTGGTCTTGTTGAAAAGTAGTCAAATAATTGTTGATTTTGATAAGAATGTAATGTCAAAATATCCTGAGGGCAGACATTTGAGAAAAAGCAGATAATCTCTGTTAAGTAAGGGAATAATTAAAGTCTATTATTTTTCATGTTTACATCATAGTGTATAAAAACAAAAACAAAAACAAAAACAAATAATCCATGATATGTATGTTATTTAACTTTGTTCAATTGCCTCTGTATGTGTAACCTATAATTTGTACAGAGCCTCTCAGGAAAAAAGTTATGATTCTGATAGAGTTGCCCTGTTTAAATCAAAAGAATAAAAAAATAAATGTTCGTTTTCAATAAAGGTAATAAGAATTCTATTCATGTCCAGTACAGATAATCCCAAAGTCCCCAATTCAATCTTGCTTCCCATCGCCATTTTCATCATGTCTTTTTGAAAGTTCTATAGCACCTTTCAATTAACTGTTATTGTGTGCTTCTCCTTGTCCTTGTCCTTGTTCATTTTTCTTTTCATTTTCCACCTACCATGCCTCTTTCTGTCTTTTCTTTCATTTTACTTCTCATTCCTCTATACTCTTCTTACTTCCAATTTTCTTCCTTCTCCCTTTCCTTTTTCCTCTTCCTTTCCTCTTTTCCCTCTTCCTTCTTCCATACTCGACTACTCTTCCTCCTCTTCCTTTGTTGTATTGTTCTCTGCCTCAACTCTTCCTCTTTTGCCAATCCCTTTTTTTCTGTCTTCTTCTAACCACCACCTCCTCTTTCTTTCCTTTTCTGCAGTCATTGAGAAGTTCACAGAGAACACCCGGTTCTGCTTCATCTGTAACTACCTGTCCAAGATCATCCCTGCCCTCCAGTCCAGGTGCACCCGCTTCCGATTCGGTCCCCTTGACAACCAGCAGATTGTACCCAGGCTGGAGTTTGTCGTCAGGGAAGAAAAGTAAGAAAGAGTTCAAATCCGGGCCCCCCCCCCCTACTCAGTGTTATTTAGGGTACGCATATGCATGTTCCCTCCTTTTGAAAACACCCCGTAAGTCTGGTGTGTAAAGTCAATACGGGCCAGATTTTTGTGTACTACGAGCCGGACTTTGGTGCATGAAAATTACCCCTTTACCGGACATTTTGGTAACACGCATGGTATCCCTCCGTTCACGGAGTGGGGGGCCGGGAGTCCAATAGACAGATGAACTAACATATATATTCAAATTTATGGATGTTTATTTCTTGGGGACCAAGTGTTGAGGTATTCCATTAACCTGTTACCAATGAATGAACTACAATGAGTAGAAGGGGGCTGGGGGCTGTAGACCCCAAAATAATTTTGACATTACCAATAGTCGGGCAATCGTCACCTGATTCTGGCAGTGAGGAGGCTATTTGTAATCTCTACAGTCTTTAGTATTATCTAGCAAAGTTTGATTTTAAAAAATCAAAATAATGTAGTATCAAATGTTAGAAAATGGACCGTTGATGTTCAGGTAAGAGGCTGTAGTTTTGTTTCTACTCTTATTGAAGTGATGTAAAGTGATGATCCTCTTTCGATTATTCAAATCGTATCATATAATTTAGAAAAACGGCCCCTTTTTGTTTGCCTCCCACCTTATATCAGTGGATTGACTCTGATTGAGTTTAAACGTATGTGGTGCATTGTTTTGCCAGTGATGTTTGATTATTCTATATTTGATTGTAGAGGTGTTGTGGTCTAGTGGATAAGTCACCCGACTGCAGATCGCAAGGTACAGGGTTTGAATCCCGCTGCCGCACTAATGACGTTAATCTACATTTGCCACTCTCCACCCAGGTGTCATATGGGTACCCGGTAGGATGCGAAAGTTAATGTGGTTGGACGAGTGAGTGGTACTTGTTAAATGGAGACTGGCCGGAATGCTCCCCAGGGAGTGGAGAATGTGCATACATTACTTACTGTACCTAGAAACAAAGTATTAGGCACATTATAAATGTAAGCTATTATTATTATTATTGTATTTGCAGTGTTGACATGACGGAGGATGGTAAGAAGGCTCTCATCACGTTGGCCAAAGGAGACATGAGAAGAGTCATCAACATCTTACAGGTATGTTGTCATAGCTTGCCAGACTCTGACCAGGGCCCGGCTTATGAAGAGTTGCGATTGATCCAAATCAATCGCAAGTCCTCTAATCAATCACAAGTTTGCAGTCCCCTATCTCTTACATATTACTATGGTTTTGTGACTGAACAAAATAAACAAAAGTCATATCACAAAATATCAATTTGGCCAAATGTCCTGCCACAAAAGTGGCCAGACATTTTGCCAAATTTGGCACAATTTATATTTTATTAATTTACTAAATGATGATAATTTTGCTTGAAAATTTGCAAGTTATTGTATGCATATTCCAACCACATGAGGAGACATTAACAAATGTGCATGTGTTTCTAATGTATGTTCCTTCGTTATAATAACAGTAATAATGGTGGGTTCTTGTATAACCCTCATATCTGTCAGACTTGACACTCTCCACAATCATTGCCCCGGCTCATGGTTGCCATCATGGTGCTCTAGCTTTGTAAATAATTCCTGCCAGATACCTGTATACCTCACCTGGGACGGGTGTGACAAATGTTGATAAATGTCCTGCCAAACGGCGTTAGTGCTGAGGCAGGGATTTGAACCCTGTACCTTGTAGTACACAGGGGTCTACAATTTTTTTGTCTACTACCCAATTGGACTATTCCCATATGGTCGACCCCCAAGCATGTCTACTATCCACATGGTCCATGTGGTCTAATAATCATTTAATCAAAAATAATAGTAATCATTAATTGATTACTGGACCTTATTGATGGTAGACAAAATAAGCATTAGACTAACTGGTTATTAGATTAATTGGAGATTGGACCATATGGGAATTAGACCAAATGTCTATTAGTCTAAATGATAATTAGATCAAATGATAAGAAGACAAAATGATTACTAGACCATGTGGATAGAAGACGGGCTGGGTGTAGACTATATGGGAATAGAGTAATTGGGTAGTAGGGGAGCTGGTTGTAGACCAAGCTGCGTTCACTACACCTTGGATGCATTCAAGCCATTTTGTTCTTGCGACTTTATATTTCCAGAGCACATCCATGGCACATGAGAAAGTAACGGAAGAGAATGTTTACCTGTGTACCGGCCACCCTCTCAGGACAGACATCGAGAACATCGTCAACTGGATGCTGAATGAAGACTTTACTGCCGCTTTCAACCGTATCCTTAACCCATGGCTGCCAACCATTCCTGTCTTGGAGGAATTATTCCTATTATTTGGTCTTCAAGCCATTGTTTTGAATCTTAGATTCCTTTCCTATTATGAAATATTCTGTTTGAAAAGTATAAACAATAGACTGTATTCCTAATTTTGACTCAAGAGATTACTCATTTTTGCTGTGAAAGCCTTGTCTGAGTGAAGTTTCACTTGAAATCATTACTGGTACTGGTATCTGACTGGCAATACCGTAGAAAGTTCACCATGCAACAAAGATAAAAAGAATCATAAAGATACAGAATATATTACATTGAGTCAACCGTGCATAAGTCAACCCCTCTCATGCCTAAACAATCTTATTCTTTTTAATAACCTTCCTTGGTTGAAGAGATTGGAAAGATACAGAAGTTTGACTTTCTTGTTTTAAGGCGCTTTTTTTTAACCTTGGGATATTGATTACTCTGCGGTTCGTTTTGGGTTCCAAGGGATGAAATATGGGTTATTGATTTCATAACAATTTTAAACACTTTCAAATCAGCAATCATCGCATTACACAGGGAATATCACTGACCAAGATATTGGTTTGGGAGTTACAGCACTCACATGGGTTGCCAAAAGGGGTCGTTGGACATCTGTTGTAGAACTTCTGTTTCCTTGACCATGCCTTCGTCCAGACATCAACCAGCTGAAGACACTCAAAGGTCTCGCCCTTCTAGATATCCTGTTAGAAGTCCATACTTATGTACACAGAAGTAAGTCGAGTGCTGCATGCGGGGCGCAACGTAACTGTTCTCAAAGCACTTGATGACTCGCGCCAGGGAAGGTCTACTGTATGCAGACTTTAAAATGAATTTGCTCTCGTGATAGAGTGAAGTGGGAATGTTTTCTGATTTGGAAATGGTTCTCAATGCTTGTGACGCGAAATAAAGTTAAACTGGAACACTTTCAATGTGTACTACCAAATTAAGGACAGCTGTTGCCAAACAACTACTCACTATTTCTTTGTAAAAATCACCCACATCAACAGTTACAAAATATAAGATTACCACTAGACTTAAAATTCTGGATCTCTCTTCTGGTAATAGAATCACTTGAAACTGTACAAATTTGATTTGTTTTTTTATTTTTTACTATGGCCTTTTGCATTAAAAAAAGATTTTGATTAAACCAATTCAGTAAATGAAAACCTAGCTTGACTTTCAATCAATCATAATTTTACATTGTGGCTTTGCTTGCATCCTTCTTAATTTTCTTTTAAAAGCTCTTTGTGCATGATGTTCCTGAATTGGTAATTGTCTGAAAAAGTAGTTTTAAAAGGGGAAGTATGCATTATATTCATTGCTGTGCTTGCTGAATCTGTAAAAGAAACAGAAAAAGGTTGCTCATAATTTTGCAATTTTGTAAAATAAATCTCAGACCTTCAGACAAGAAATTATGTAGAGTTCCTGTAAAAATACATGTACATGCATGTAAGTGAAAGTTAATAAAACATTTCTATTTTGTTTATATTCCAGTTGAATTTCCACAGAAGGTTCGGATATACCTCTTGGACAAGATGTCAGATATTGAGTAAGTTGCCCCTTCCACTTAATGAGATTGTCATCGTTTTCAATTCCTGTAAAACAAGCAAGCAAGCAAACAAACAAACAAACAAACAAACAAACAAACAACAACAAAACAAACAAACAAACATTAATGATAAATCTGAAATAATAAGCCAGTTCATAGATGCAGTCTGAGCATGAGCTCAGATAAAGGTCATTGCAGACCAAATTGTGAAATGCAAGGAGACAAAATACTGGATATGTGCTCATGAAAGTTATGTAATCATTATTCATTTATGCACAAGCAGTGCACTCCATGATACACAAGTGGAAGTATTTTTTGAAAAGGGAGAAACAAAGGCTATTTTATGTAGCACCTTCATCAATGTAGGAGTGATTATTTCAAAATGTACAAAGTGGGACCTCTTCATGTTTTTGAAGATCTGTGGATATTCGGGATCATTTGGGAAGTGTGCTACCCGTGAACTGGTCTATTACATACCATGCAAGATTAATGATTCTTCCTGTAAAATACACTAATACACGTGGTAGATCTTAAAATATTTGAACTGATCATTTTACTAGTTATGACTACCTTCTAAATAAAAATCATTTCTTTTTTCACTGTAAAATAACGCATACAAAAAGCAGTGACAAATTGTTATATGAATAATAGTGGCAGGATCATGAAAAGCTCTCAGTGAATCAAATGCCATGATTTCAGTAGCTTATAACAACTGTTGTAACTTGTTATTGATAACAAGTTTTGTGAAACAGGGCCCAGTTCAGTCAAATGGATTGGGAGCCTAACTTCCTAGCAGTCTGAAAAATAGATATTTATGATTTTGCAGAATTTTTTTTTTTTTTTTTTTTTTTTATAATTTTTTTTTAATTAAAAAAAAAAAATGTTTTGATAACTCACCAATGAAAGGTGGACTTGTTGAATTGGGGCCTTTTTGTCATATTCTCAAGAAACATAAATCAGGACAAATCAAATTTTCACTTAAACAATTGCAAAACTTGGTAATGGGTGTGAATAATTCCAGTTGCTAACTGTATATGAACATGTGACTGTCATAAAAGTGTTTGACCTCAATTATGAATATGTTGAATGTGATATTATTAATACCTTGAATATGATATTGCAAGAATGAAATGAAATATTCTTTTTGTTTGTGTGAAGGTACCGCCTGGCAGCAGGGACCAGCGAAAAGCTACAGCTTGGGTCTTTGGTAGCAGCCTTCCAGAGCGCACGAGAGATGGTGGCTGCATAGGCAGGACCGTACTTTTAAAATATATTTAAAGTTAAGAAAGAAAAAGAATTAAAGGAGAATAGTCAATAATATGGAATATTTTGTTCCTGGAATATCATGGTTAGTCCTGGGTTTTAGATTGCAGAAAATGGGGCTTTTAAAGCCTGAGTATGAAAACAAAATTTAGTCAGATAATTTACCAGAGGTAATAGAGTAATGTGCATGTATATCAATGTTTTGATACTATAACTGAACCTCAACTTATGGTAGGAATTCAGTTATTTATTCATAGGGGGAAAAGCCTGCACAAAATAGGTGCTCTCAATTAGCACACTCTTCATTTACAAAAATTTTTGGGGAAATGGTTTGATAATGATTCATCTTATCTCATCATTTTAGTAAAATCTGCATAAAAAAGTTGTTAAGACACTTTCCTCACTCTTTGTATGACACTTGGATTGCGAAGTGAGAATTGTGTTCCAACGGATTATTGCAAATACTTTACAGAGATTATTCCAAATCAGTATTATGACTCTTTCTCAAGATTTGTTTTCTTCCACTCTTTGACTTTATTTTTAAAATTCTCCCTAATTATGTGGCCCAGTCGAGTAAATTCTGTTTCTTGTCTGAGCTTGCCTCCTTTTTCACCATTTACTATAATATACTACCAAACATGATGCAAAGATTTCCCAAAATAGTTGGTTTAAATTTCATGGTAGCCCTATTGAAAAACAAAAAAGGAAAATCATATCTTGAAGGAATCCCTCCCTCTGTTTAACAATTTATTTGTCATCTTGATATTCTTACTTTATTAATTAAAGGCCCACTGCACTACTTGTAGCTACTTGTGCCCTCTATATAACAAACAATGCCTAATCGGTGACCATTGGTCCCCCATCATCCTCTTTTTCTTATGTTAACTGAGAGCTGAGTTGATGAGATAACCACCTGTCCAGTGACCTTGCAGGGCGCTCTAATTCCTCCTGTAAACTATGGCAGATAAGCTTTAATACAATTATCTATGTTTTATTATTTTGTTCAATTTCTTCTTCTTATTATTTTTTTTTCTATTCTTTTTGAGGAGGGGGGGGGGGGGGGGCTGATAATCCATTTAAGTTGGACCAATATTTATAGGCATGTCTATTCATGTACGGTACATGTTCACCCATACATACTTTGCTTTATTGCCGAATTATTGTGTGTTATCACTGAAAGCAAATAAACACAAGCAGAGAATATAGTATGGACTGAGCACCGCTGAGAGTTCAAAGGTAATGTTGAACAATACCTTGTATATCATGTACATAGCAACTTGAATAAAATTTTGTATGTAAACAAAATATCGCACACCCTTTTATCGCAATCTTTGGCTTATGTGAGTGGGTCTGTTGTGTGTCTTCATCGTGATCTTGTTTAGACATGTTATGACCTTTTCCAAGCGCACTGTCTACCGGCGCAGACCCATGTTCTTTTTACTGTTTTTATTATATACATGTATTTAGTGATGAACACATAACTTCCAGATTTAGAATTTAAGGTAAACCGGTAATATAAAATATGGAAATCGTGTTTCCAATAAGTATCTGCATTCAGCTGAGTAATAGTGCAATAGGCTAGGCTCCAGCAAGAATTGTTTCTATGATCAAGATAAAAAAGGTCTGTGCTTGCAGACTAGTCATCAATCGGCCTCTGTTCATTTACGAGTGAAGTGGATGTGATTTCCTGGAAGTTTGAATCGAGCTATCCTTTGTTTAACATCTTTAACTTTGCTTGTGTCGCCAACGGCTGTTTCGGCATTTTTTAATTCTTAATTTTTTTTCACATCCTTTCTTTTTTCAAGATCCTTTCCTTATATTTAATCACGGTTCTTCAATTCTTATTTTTTGTTTTTGATTTTTCTGACCAACTCCCCTTCCTCCATTTTCTCCTCTTAACCTTTCTTTTCCCTTCTCTATTCCCTCAGAACTTTTTATTGTTTCTACAGTTTCCTACTTTGATCTCTTCATTTATATGCTCTCCCTCTCCATCTGATTAATTTTCTTGAATTTCCTCCTTTTTCTATAATGTAAAGACTCCTTCCATGTAATTCATTCCTCTTCTTCGTCCTCTCTCTCTCTCTCTCTTCCTATTTGATTACTGATATTTTGCCTGTTCATGTAATTACCTTTTCCTTTTAAACTTCTCTCATTTTCCTATCCTGCAATGATTTTATTTCCTTCAACTGCATGCTGATCTCTAATATCTTCCCTATTCTACTATACCATCTTAACATCTACATGTCCCACACACACAGCAAATCCAGCTACCAGTAACAATTTCATCAGTTTTTTATACTTTTTAATATTTGCAGTTCACTTTCCTTCATCACATCATCCACACAAGAGTACAATGACCTTCACATGAATGAAACATACTGGAAAAGGGACACAAAATCTGCCGTGAGATTCCCAAATAAATTAATTCAGAAGGCAATTTTTACAGTTAACAGGTAGGTACCATTGTGTATCCAAATAGTTCACACACTTCATCACCGATACAAAGTTTTCTTGTGCCTGTTGCACGCTTTGAAGCGAATTCTGATATTATGAGATGTTGCAGAAGGAAGATGCATGTACATGTTCTGCTAAAAAGCACTTTCTGAAGCAAATTTGCAATTAAAGTAAAAATGCAAAGTTTTAAAAAGGCTGCACAGTGTCTCATTCAGGCTCTAGAACAAAGCTTTTGTTAAAAAGAAATAGCTAGGACTACATGAAGTGGGTGAACGAAAAATTATAAATTATTCAAAAATACAATAAAAATAGTATGATTATTATTAAATGAATTATATCATTGGTTAATCATTCTACAAAAGAATGGATGGAATTCCTCAGAATCATTCAATATTGGAAGATTTTGCATCAAACAAAACAAAATGGCCGTTTGAAAGACTGCATTGCTTACAATGAAACAAAAAAATATCAAGGTTGTACCGATTGAAAAATCAAACAAATAAAAAGCAGAATTTAAAATTAAAAAAATATTGGTAAAAGGTTAGATAAACAAAATCATTGCATAGAAAAAATAAAATTAAGAAATACTATATCCCAATATTGATAAAAACATAAAAAACCAAGCAAAAGAAGAAGAAAAATCCTCATGCAAATTCCACTATTGAGAGAAAAATGGACAAAACCTAATATACTTGTATGTTCCTGCCAATGTATTCTCAGTAAAAATGTAGAAAATCAACATCACTACAGCAAATACCTCAGTTTGTACTGACATACCGGTAATGAATATTCAAAACACTTATGGTAGTAACTTCATACATATTCATGAGATTGAGAAAAAGCCACAAAGGTTGACTGCACAAAATCAAGTCTCTTCATGCCGTAATTGTAACCATTTTACCAGAACAAATGCCGGTATGTAAATAGTACACATATGGTACATGTATACACAGCATGTTCACACATGTCTGAGGTTTGGTTAAACAATACATTTCTCTGACACAAGCATAATCCAGCAAGTACCTACCGGTACATGTATGTGAACACAAATTCAAGTTTTGGGGTATGCACAAGATTTCTTTTGAGGAGATGAAACCTCAATGTACAGAAGCTCTTCCCTTTTAAAACAAAAAGGAACAAGACAGAACGAAAATTGAAATTTGAACACAACTACTTTTGACGAAAAATGTGCATACCAGTACTTGTTTCCTTTACTGTTTTTCCTCCCCCTCTTGATCAATACAATTGTATACTTCCCTGAAAAGTAGTCCAGCAATTTGTAGTATAGATGAAGAAAACTGCAAAAAGGTTGCTGGCTTGCAGCCTTTCAATGGGCACTCTCGCTTAAATCTTTTCTTTCTCTTTTCAATACGAGCTGGAAATATTACATTTCTGATGCAAATGTGTGTCCAATAGACCCAGAAAAGGCCTCCTAAGTGATAATTGTACTCAATATATACTGGTTGTACGAGTTCATAATACACAAATAGTCGTAAGTCCTCTTTGATGCTACCAAGGTTTCACAAAAAGTAGGTGACTTCCTTGGTACGAGGGTGCCGGCCGACCCATCATTTAATCCCCTAATCAGAAATACACCACAATCACGATTCACAATGACACAATCAATCATATACAATGCAAATGTTTGAACTATATAATAAGTTCAACACACAATTGAAGACATACTGTTTTGTTTGGAAATGTAGTTTGTGCATCATCATTATGAGGTAACATTTGTGAAACATCGGTCACCGATATGAAGACAGTACTACAGAGAAATATCAATCCTTGCAAGTACATGTTAGACATTAATCAGGAATGCATGTACAGAAAACTTGGTAAAATTGTTGGAATGGGGTCTGTAATGTCCTGCATTATTAATTATTTTACAAATGGAGTGAAAATTAGACAATAATTGTGATAATAATGACTGGCATCCATAGGATACATACAGTAAACAGGAATAAATTATATAAAATGTGTTCAATCTACAGAATTAGAGAAAAAGTCAAATGAAAAAGTAGTAAAGATATTAAATTCCTCAGAGAAGTACCAGTGATATTACAAGTTTGAGCCTTTGAGGCCAATGTTCTATTTCTTAAACTGAGATCAATGAATTTCTGATTTTCTGATTGAGTTGAATCATTACATGCTTAATGAATTAGCTTCCTGAACAAGTATACGGCTCAGAAATAAAAGGTTTTCTTGACAATACTACATTGTGTATGAATGATATTCATGGGAGATTAAAATACAATATTTGGTATCTTTAAAAATGCATCATAGTACACAAATGGGGGATATATTATATATACATCAAATTTCACACACTGGATTAAATATGCAAAGGACTTGATTGTTTCCTTCAAAATTTGTCTTCCGCTAAAGGGAAGGAAAAAAAAGTTATCAAAGTCAAGATGCACAAGTTGCATGATTCTTTATAGGAAATGTATTGGGCTCAGTGAATACTTCATATGAATGGGCTACAAAATTGAAGACATTCATTGGAAGGAATTCCCGGTCATTTAAAAATGTCATGAAATTTGCATCAATTTATTTAAAGGGAAGTATAAAAAAAAATTCACTTCAATATGTATTGAATAGAATAGAATTCATTGATGCAACATGGGTAAAATTTGCTGAAATTAGTTTAGAGTTCATATCATGTTCGAGTACAGTAAAATAGGATTCAGAGTCATTAAAAACACACTATCAGCTTTGAATATTATTCCAAATCCAAAATGTCATTTATACAAAGCGTTATTTTTTTCAAGAATAAATCAGATAATTCTTGAATTCAATTTGACCGTGTATCCACTGTAAGGCATTGACAATTTACTGATAAAAATGAAAGTAGATTCCCTGAATTTTCCTTCAAGATGGGTAACAAATATTTCCAAGAATTATTCTCACCTCATAAAATACGTATTTCACCATGGACTTTCTACAAATGTTATTTACAGAAAAATAATTCATTTCATTATGCTACAAAAGGGTCCTCAATAATTTGAATGTACATATAATTGCGACAGGTATGGAATGCCTTATGAGCACGTGTTGCTAAATATATCACCACGTACTTCAATTTCATTTATGTACACCACACACGTCTGAGAGGATAAAATATGAGAAAATATACATGTACAACTGTTTAAAAAAGATCAGCGTAGAGGTAGACGATAATTCTTTCCAAACAATTTTCATCACTTCTGAAGAGTTTTGCAAACACGTGCACTTCAGTGACCTATTCACCTTTAGTCATACATAAAAGAATTTCAATTTCATATCAATTTTGAGGCACAGGTAAGTATGAGGTTCTCCGGTCCAAAGGAATTTTTTTTATAGAAATATTTATAACTCTCTCTTTTGATCACCGCTGAGGATTTCTATACAAGCAATGCAGCATTTGCTCAACGATATGAATCCAAATACATTGAATTGTCGGTCTACCACTTAAGATATACAACTTCATCTCATTTTCACTGCTTTTTGAGCACCATTCACATTCATATCATCATATATTTGTGAAAGTTTTCCCTTCATTGATGCTCTCCTCGCCCGCGTCATATGCATGTTCAAGACCCTTGACCTCTTGGTGGCTGACCGGGTCAACCTCGAGCCTGAGATAGAACTATCATCTAGACTCAGCCTTCTCCTAGGGGATTGCCTTGATGAGCTTCCCTTGGCCGGAGCTGAGAGGGCGTTCTTCCGGTCATGCTGAGGAGTGGGCGGATCACATTCGTACAGCACCTCAATGGGTCCGTTCGCCGTCAAGAATGTCCTTTTGGCCTTGACCGGGGTGGCTTTAGCGGCCTTGCGTCGCATTTGCCTGTCAACATCGTATGCGTACTCCACCCTGATGCCACACTTCTTGGTGTGTATTACCTTGTAGATCTTGTCGCCGCTTTTCGTACGCTCCCCGACGTTGGTCTTCTGCACCACCGGATCGGGCTTAGGCTTCTTCGGCTTGGGCAGCTCGAGGCCGTCCGTGTAGCGCCGCTTGTACTGAGGGGCCGGGATGTTCCCGTACTGCCTGCGCTCCTTGTTGGACATACAGTAAAGACGGTTGTAGTTCTCCATGGACGTCAGCTTGGTGCAGGCGTGATGGCGGATCAACGCCGGCCTGGTGAAGTTGTCCCCGTTTTCATCCACCTCTTCGTCATCGCCATCTCCCGTGACTTTGAGTCCAATGTTCTGCCACTCCTTGACGGCATCAAGGTCGATCTGGTCACCTTCGTCGTCGATCACGTCTGGGTACTCGAAGAAGACGCAGATGACTGAGATGTTGTCTGCTCTCAAGAGATGGTAGTTCCAGAGATCCATTCCCCGTTTTACCAGCTGATGTGAAACCGTTTCTGACGACTGCTCTCCCTGTATTGCACAGAATCAAACAAATCAAATAAGTTTTTGCTCTTTGATCGGAGAGGGTGTACATGTACCTTAATTGTAACTATGGTCTTTACTTAAAATGTTATCTAGACTCAACACAAATATCAAGAAACTGTAACTTAAGATAGAGAGATTGGGTGGTATTCTCATAAGTTAAGCCGGGACTAAGTCCAGACTAAACAAGAATTTTAGTTCACACTTCTTTGGAATGCTAGGTTTCATCTTCCTCCTTCAATATTCATGACAAAGATAATTTACCAAAGACTTTTTGGAAATTCAGTTCATACTCATATTATCTTTTTCTTCCCATTTCATTGCAAAATTAATTTTTTGGAGACTTTTCATTGAAGGATTAAAATAATCTGTACAGGATAAATGAGTTGACAACAGGCACTCCATAAAAGTGTGGACTAACTTAGTACGCGCTACCAGAATACCACCCACTATCACCAAGTATGGCATAGCTGTGTTTAGCCTCTACTTAGAATAGAACCACAAAAACTTATTTAGTACACCTCACTTAATCATTTGGTCTAATGTGTAAACCAAAACCTTTATAAACACTTATTGATTTATTTTCCTACAAGTATAAGCCGGTCACATTTCTCATTGGTCAGTGCACCAAGTTTCATTGATTTTGTTTGTGTTCATGTACACCAAACTTTTTTTTTACCTGCAAAATACGAGTCTTGTCGTATTTCTCCACAATCTGTACCGAGGCCTCACTTGTGACCATGTTCCATAGACCGTCGCTGCCTAAGATAAGGAACCGTTCTGATTTTGGATCGATGACCCTGTGCATAATGTCGGGCTCAGGAGAGACGATGTACTTGCCACTACGGAAGTTGTAGCTCCATAAATCACCTAGAGGAGAAAGAACGGTGATATGGATTAAAATTCAATTTTCTTCATACCGGACTTCACACTGACATTTTTTTTTACAGGGGCCCTGACTTGAGAAGAAAAAAAACTCTAGGATAAGACTATTTGTGAAAAAAAAGAGAAGGGTTCAGAAAACTTTAAAGAGAAGGTTGAGTTCTGGGAAAAGGTGAAAAATAATTTGTGAGCATTTTCATTGTTTTTATGCAAGCGTGGAAAACATCAGATAAGAAATGTTCTTTGAAAAGCATGGCTCTTCAAATGCCTTAATATTCTACATATGTCATGTAACATCATAAATATCAGGACAGACTTTTATGCCACATGTTCATCTAGTCCCATATACATCTTTCTGTGTACAGTGCTTGTATCTTTACCAAGACTGGGCCAAATTTCTTCTCATTTTGATGATTCCACAACCTTGCAGTACACACCAATACTTGTATGCTAGATGATCAACCTTTTCTAAATGATTTAACAACATTTCTTTCATAATGTAATCGCATGACCAGGTACCCGTTTCTCAAAGCCTTTTTTCAATGACAAATGAAAAAAAATCAGTGACAAATCTGTTGATAACCAATCAGAAGCAAAGATTTCAGTAGAACAAGAACTGTCATTTGTCACGGATGACAAGATTTGTGAAACACCCCTCTGAACTCTTTCTTGGAGGCCCATGTTGGCATCAAGCCCTGAATGGATGAATGCTCGAGGCCAGTACATGTCATAAACCCACACATGTATCAAATTATAAAAACATCAATCTGGAGTTCACTCTATTAGAAAATAGCCCTTGACAACAAAACAGGCACTGATAGCTAATAGCAATTTACATACAAGAAAATCCCTTTTGGCTCTCAGCAGTGTGTTGATTTCTTTTGTGTTTAAATGCAAAACATTATCTTACAATGCCCTAAGGCATAACACAGCAATAAAACAAAAGTAGTTCATTGGAAATTAAACAGATTTAAAATATATCAAATAATGCCTCCGGCTACTTCGTAACGGAGGCATAAAAACCCAACTGACATATGAGCCATATATTACCCTATAATTATCTTTGATAAAATTATTTGGTGTGCGAATGTTGCATGAACAATAGTCATTTCACAGGTCATTGTAAATCCCATAGCGAATTCGCTGATTCTCACAGTCTCTCCAAGATGGAATAATTACCTAAAGATCTGGCTACGGCCAGGAACGGTATATCTGTCAGTTCTGTATTTCTCGTGATAGGACCAGTGTGGTCTAGCTTAGGCCTGGACCAGACCACCCTCTGCACGCCTGCCTTGTCTTGCACCCGACCTCCGGCTTCCTCAATGCGTTCTATCTCCTCGATGTCGCTTGGCTTGTGATCGACGGTCAGCGTCTCCGTGACTATCTTGTGGCTGGTTACGCCGTAGACGTTAGTGGTGTTGAGGCCCCTCGGTTCACTCTTTCCCAGCACTATTCTGGAGTCTCCTACATGAGCTGTGTACATGTCATTCCCACATATGATGACCATACTACAGGTTGAGCCTGCTGTACTGGGATATCCAGAAAGAGTCTTTGGCCAGGAGGCTGCATGAAGGAAGGAGAAGGAAGAGGTCACTAGGGTTAGAGGATTCTTCATTACATTCACAAAAAATGTCAATATATTTTGTTGTTTTAGTGTATACCGAAAGGCGTTTGTCATTCAGAAGTGAATATTTACACCATATATGACTGGACAAGTTTAGTCTTTCATCGAGTACATGTAGATATTATGTAGACTTGGTACATGTACATGTATGACTTAGCTTTATTCCCTTTAACTTGTAATTATTTGATTATCTATGTAGTTATATAGAGATTTTGGAACAGTCACAAAATACAGTTCAATCATGGGTTCAAATGTGAGGGCAAAATTAATTCATTTTTATTAGGACTGGGTGAAGAAAACTGTAATTCTCCGGATTCTGCCCAAAGTAGAAAAATAGCCTGGAAAGAGAATAGGTACGCACTTGCGAAACCTCACCTTCACGGCTACCTGACCCACTTAGGCTTAGGGTAGGTTGAATTTAAAGGTAAAGACCAGTAATGGTCATGCGATTGCATTGTGAAAGAAACGTTGTGGAATCGATCAGAAAAGGTTGATCATCTAGCATCTAGCATCTGTAAGGTTCTGGAATCATCAAAATGATAAGAAATTTGGCCCATTCTTCGCAAAGTTACAAGCACTATACACAGAAAGATGTATATGGGACTACCCTATCTCTCTCACACGACCATGAGAGAGATAAATTTACCAAATATATGAATTAGTAGGCGGTTTCCCGGCAAATTTTTTATCATCATGTATTAGTCAAAACATATTCTTTCACATGATTGGTAATGAGAGCTTCCATTTCATTTTTTGAAATTGGGGCGTTACCAATACTGGTCTTTACCTTTAAGGCGTTGTGAGGTATCGCGACTGCCATTCTCTTTCCAGGCTATTTTCTACTTTGGGCAGAATCTGGAGAATTACCCAAAACTTAATTTCATCAAATAGAGTGGTGAAGTGTGACATCATCAAAAATCTATTTCTAGAATTTCTCAATTTTTTCTTCATTTTCCAAATGCAGAAAAAATGTAGAAATTCTAAAAATAGATTTCTAGATCTAGAGTAGACCTAGACTGGACATTAATTCCTGTCACCAATGTTCTCTTAAATTTGAACTTGGCTTAGCCTTAGGCTTACAAAATGTTCATGTTTTTCATAAAATAATGAGCAGATGACATGATCAAGTGCAGACAATACAATTTGATCTAGACCTAGGTCTAATCCTAGATCTACATCATGTATGAAATAGACCATGTAGATTTTCTAGACCCTAATGTAATAAGGATTGAATTTTGAAACATGACTTAATTTTTACCTGGCGCATATCACACACACTGACACAGATTGAATTTTAGTTCGATAAATGACGCCACACAACTCTATAGAAATAGACTAGATCTAAAATGAAAATTGAAATAAAATGTTGCCTTGCCCTCAAAATCAGAAGAACCTCTGCCCCCCCCCCCCCCCCCTCCTTAAAAAAGTGTAAGTCAAAGTACCATTTGACATGAGTACACTACAGTGCAACCGATAGGCGGTACCCATTTCGGACAACTGCTGCATTACGTCACTGATCAGTGACCCCGAATAGCTTTACGTGGAAAACTACCGCTCTAGAGATATTCATTCAATTTGTGTTGTGACAGTGATATTCTAGCGACCGTTTGAAAGCGTTTGAATGAAAGTTGATATTCCTACTAATACTCACATCGCTCCTTCCACATGCCCTCTTGAGTGACACGAAATGCCTCATTAATCGCGGACATAACTGCGTTTGGTTCGCGGGAAAAGAACCCATCTTGATTCTTGATATTTTGCCACAAGTGATCACGGGCATACACTGCGGCCTCCTTCCCTCCATGTCCATCGAACACAGCAAAGCATGCATAGTCGGCTTCTTGTTCTCTGTCGAAAACGATACAGATCATGTCTTCCATGTATTTTCTTCCTCCCTGAGTTGAATCACTAGATACCCTAAGTCCTATTACACGTTTTCTTTTCGGATTTTTCTTCATTGGACTAGAAACAGTCCGATATTGTTCCACACTTTCCATGTTTTCGGTCTTCCTGGCGCGCCGTTTCCTATCGAAAATGTTCTTTGTATCGCGCCAATTTTCACACACAGAACGTTGATTACGTCTACGTAAACTTCGCTGTGGTTGAATCATGCGCTAACTTGTTCTTGTCCGCGCCTCTCATTCGTTGATTTCATTCAATGAATGCAGAGCAATGCCAAGGCGGAAGTGACGAATGAATATATTGATCAAAGGTCATCGTTTCACAAATATAAACAAAAATGGCTTATGTACGTTTTCCAATGACTTGCCGATACATGGAAAGTGTCGTTGCTGTTTAGAACTCAGGGAGGTGACATAATAACTTCTTTGCCTGCATGTTCAGGACTCAAAATAAATTTAACATGAAAATAGCTAAGAACTTAAATAAAGTCGCAAAACAGTCAGAGTGAACATTCTGATAATTAAAGTGCACTGCAAAATGTGAAAATAATACTGTTTAAAACACGGTTAGGTTTTTTTCGTTACGAAATAAACTTGCTTGAAGCTATGACGATGCTAAAAGATGGACGTGTATATATCGCATTTCTTTTAAAATCAATAAGAGATGTCTTCATATCATCAATGACCCAAAATTCGATTAAATGATATACTATTGGCCACACATGTCATTTGTTTGTGTATTAAGCAAAATGGTGCATGACAGCCAACGCCCTCCCAATACAATAACATGTTGGTTCATGAACTGTTGGCGGCTGTACGTACGGGGCACTTAATTGCCACCCCCGCCCGCTATAGCCCAGTGCTTCTGTCAGTTCTTTCTTCTTATTATTCAGTTTTCCTCCTTTATTTCTTTCTTTTCTATTCTTTTTTTCTTCTCCCCATTCCGAAAGACCGGGTAGAACTTGGTTTTAGACGTAATAATGTTTCACTAATTAATTCAGTGCTCTTGTCTCTTGTGTCAGTAAACTCAAATTGCGTAGTACCATGCACGGTCCCTATATGCAGGTCTTTTGCCCACATATTCCTGTATTCGCCAAGGGCTGGGCTCTAGTCTCTTTAATCCGAATAAGACAAAGGGATATAGGCCTACTAAATAGGAGATAAACAATAATTAAAAAAAATATATATATATATCACCTCCATATACCTCATCAATTTTTGTTTTTGTATAGTGGGGATTCCCCGCCTCGTATAAACCTGCATGTTTGCATTTATGTCGATGTTGTATTTAATTTTCAGAACTTCCCTACTTTGCTCTGCATAATCTATCTGAAATGGCTGTCCCAGAATGTTTCCAAGTCGGGAATCCATCAGGTTTTTTGGGGGGAACTTACTTTTGGGCTGACCTATCTACATAAAGTTACAACTAAAGGTAAACTTAGTTTATATACAGTGTGTCCCGAAAAAAACTATACACTTTTGAAATGGCTGCCGAATAAAAAATATATGATTCTAGGGGAAAAAGTTGTATATGTATGGAAAGCCCATAAACTCAACTTTCATATGACACCAACAAGTTTGAAAATAATTCATGCTTGGGTGAGCACTGCTCACTTTTGTAAAGGGTATGAAAATTAGGTTGCGCAGGAATTAGCCTTCCAATGTGTGAGAGGTCAATCCTTTGGAGCTTACAACATTGAGGGGGATATGATAAATTCATGATTTGCTGAGTGAATTCCATGGTTAATTAGGCCTAAACCAAACTTTTATGCACGAAACAGGAATTTCATTTTTCTATTGTAGCATTGTAACTTTCCCTGGTAGACTCAGTGGTGTGTTCATGAGAGTCAGGATTGGGTGATGGTACATGTTGTAATTTCCATGTTACAAACTGTTATTTTTTACATTTGTGACTTTGAATAAAAACCTTCACCCCACATTTCAGTTACCATTTACCTGAAGAATAAGTAGCCGACATCTTGGACATTCCTTTTTTCAACAGAACCGTATTTGAATATTCGATTTACATTATCCCTACCTGATGGGTATTTAATAAATCAATGAGATGTTCAACTAATCTTACAATAATTGAAATGTGGGGTGAAGGTTTTTATTCAAAGTCACAGATGTAAGAGAATAACAGTTTGTAACATGGAAATTACAACATGTACCATCACCCCCGACTCCCATGAACACACCACTGAGTATAACAGGGAAGTTACAGTGCTACAATAAAAAATGCAATTCCTGTTCACTCATGCATAAAATGTTAATCCCATAAACCAAACATTTCACTCATTGACAAACCCAAACTCATCACAATTGATCATAAATTGGTCATATCATCCTCAATTCCGTAAGCTCCAAAGGATTTACCTCTCACACATTGGAATGCTAATTCCTGCGCAACCTAATTTTCATACCCTTTACAAAAGTGAGCAGTGCTCACCCGAGCATGAATTATTTTCGCAACTTTTGGTGTCATATGAAAGTTGAGTATATGAGCTTTCCATACATATATAACTTTTCCCCCTAGAATCATATATTTGTTATTCGGCAGCCATTTCAAAAGTGTATAGTTTTTTTCGGGACACACTGTAGTTTAACTATCATACCCTTTCCACACTCAACTGGGATGCAAAAGAGAGAAAACGAGTGACAAAGAGAGAGAAAGAGAAAGAGAGAGAGGGACATGATAGAGAGAGAGAGAGAGAGAGAGAGAGAGAGAAGTTAATTAATGGAGAAAAAATTAATGGCGGAAAAATGATTACGTGTTCCCTTTGGGGCGCTATATAGAAAATTGTACGGACATACAGCTGTTTATGCGAGAGAGGGCTTCGGATGATTCCCGTTGTTCAAACATGGCGTTTTCATTGATTTACTATGGGTTAAAAATGAATGTTTAGAATCCCGAAATTGATATTCTTTTTTCTTAATTTAGTTTGTATGATAATGATTATATTATAATTCCTTGTAGCTTAAAGGTACTATGTCCCTTTTGCAGCCAACCTCAAATGCTGTAGAACTTTGCAGGAATAATGAATATGTCATGTATGTCCTATCTGTGAAATTTAAACGTTAGCAGTGGTAGGGGGCGGGGCACGAAATCTTTTTTTTCACTCCAAAGACCCGAGCACTGGGGACAAGGGGAGGCAAGGAAATCGGTAAAGTTACTTTTTGAAATAAATTAGTATATATGGAAATGTCGTTGATCATGTACTAATTACAGGGCCCACATTAAGAACATTATAAAAACGTTAAAAAAAAAGGGGGGGGGGGGGAGGTAAGAGGACACTTTTTTTTTTTGTCTCGAAATTTGAAAACTTGACATTTTGCTCCGTTGGGGGGGGGGGGGGTAAGGTCAGCTATTTTAGGTCAGCCATGGGAATATTTTTTGTTTTTTTTTGTTTTAATAAATCAACAACAACAAAAAAAAAAAAAAAATCCAAAGGGGGGGGGGGTAGGGGGATTTTTTGGGGGTTTACACACAGAAAAATACCAAAGGGGGGTTTACCCCTACCCCCCCCCCCCCCCACCCCCCCCCCCCCCCCCCCCCCCCCCCCCCCCCCCCCCCCCCCCCCCCCCCCCCCCCCCCCCCCCTGTGTACGCGCCTGGACCCATATACTATCTTCGAACAGGGAAAAAACAGACCCGGTTGAATGATGCCTTAATTCTTATATGACTTTAAATAAAATCTCAAAACAAGTCATGCTTGGACCAAGAACCTGTCTAGAAATAAATGTAGCCATAAATTCCCGGCACTTATAACCAACTCGCAAGTATATAACAAATTTCGTTGCAAAGTCTGAAATATATTTTGCAAAATATCTCAATATTAATAATATTATCAAGCTGTATTTTTAAAATAGGATTTAATATATCCATCCCCACACTCCCCTCCCTCTACACAAATGATAAAATAAAAAAAAAGTATAATAGACTAGCCACTAGCTAGGATAATGTTCCCCCTTCAACCCCCACTCAACTAAAAAGTAAAATAAAAAGTAAAACAAGAATAAACTTTAAAATGACAGGGGTGTTTCTTAAACTTTAAACATTAAGCAAACATTAACAAATACCGTGCATACGATTACTCTGTCTTCTAAGCCACCTGCAGCAGTACATGGTTGACTATGCTGTTTCAAATAATCATAGTTTCTCTTTGTTTGATTTACAATATATTTAAGGTTATTATTATCTTTATTTTCACCCTGCACATGGTCTATGAATTCGATTTCGCGCAATTTATTGAAGTTGGGGCTGTTACACATGCGCAATGCTAATCAATGAGCTGAGCATGCGCAGTTGTGCGCCACCATCGGGGCTCCTCGAAGATGTAAATTTCTCTCCATCAAATCGTACAGTCAGGCTGTATTACATTTTCGGGAATTTCTGAATGTAGGAAATGTGTTTTCAATCCGAATTCACATGTTCGATAGCTGTATACAATATGTTTGCCTGTGCGTAATTTGAAGAAAATTCATAGTTTCACTTCTTCAGGACAAGAGTTTCCATCAAGCACCCTCCTCTCGACCCGAGCATAATATTCGGTGCACCTTCGTCGTGCGATAACTACGGCGGCGGCTACTTGTGGGGATGTGTTACCGTGCATCACCACACGGGGCTGGAGACTTTGTTGGAAATCATTGATTCTTTTGCATCTTGTTTTCTGGATCACCCTTCAACCAGCAGACAAGCAAACCAAATTGCGAGATGGCTACGACTGTCCAGTATGATCTGGACACGTCTGGAGGCCTCATGATGGTAAGTGAAAGTGAAATTCTGCCGTTGAACAACTTGTTTGTGATGCGAATTCGATTTGACAGATGTTCTCGTTTGCTAATACACAGCCATTGAAACGCGTGCGAACAACAAAACTTGCTTGCTGCGCCGTCCCTTGTACACAGAACTCGTTATTTTTCTTTCAAAATGGCGACGCAACGTACCAGGAAAGAGAGCTCTTTGCTGTGCGTCCTGTACATTGTGCTGTCACCCTACTTAACCTATCCATAACTGTTTTCATGTCATACTTGCAGCAAATTCAGGCTTTGGTTGCCCCACCACAAAGTGATGAACCTCCAAGAAAATACAGAAGAACAGAGCCAAGGAGAACAGGAAGAGCAACCAATAGAGACTCTTGTGATAGCTGTACTGAGGGAGGAGATCTTATTTGCTGTGATCGTTGCCCTGCGTCTTTTCACCTTCAATGCTGGTAAATCTTATTTCCTTAGACTCAGACTCGTTAAGTCTGCGAATTGAAGGTCTATCGGACTCGAGATTAATGAATCGATCTTGTTCATAATTTCATTTATGATGGGAAATTTCAAGTGTTAATTTTCAAGTGTTGAATACGTGCATGAATATCTTTTGTGCAATTGACATACTCTAGACCTTAAGACTTAAAGCGATGAGAAAATCCCACATATGTCTTTCTAAATCCAAGAACAACAATTCTAAGTGCTCAATTAAAAAAAGCTGTGCACATATCTTGTTGATGAAATAAACCTCATGGGACTGGAAACATGCAATGGTTTGCTGCCAAATCATCCATTTCATTTTCTCTTTAAAATATCAGACTCATGTTGAGTTTTGCACATAACATGTGCATTTGTACATTGATCTTTACATCTAATCTTTTTATAAGGAAAGCTTACCATATTATTGGTCAATATGGAAACATTTGTGCATTTCAAACAAAAGTAATGGATGATCTTCTTCTCTGTTTTGGAACGTTTAGTGAATGCTTCAAAGATTGGAAACTGCCGGATGAAGATGCACAGTTCCATTTCGAAGAGTTTCTGTTGTTGTCTTTCATGATTCTGTTTCACACCCAAACAGTCTCCTTGGTGGTCTCTCTCTCTCTCTCTCTCTCTCTCTCTCTCTCAGTATACATGTATATCCATGTATGTTGAATGACGGTTCTTTATACGCAAGTAAAATTGATTTCAAGTTTCCTATGAGATTCTTTATGATTAAGCAGGCTTCATATTTGATATTTTTCATGCACATTACAGGACAATTTTATTACATGTTCACTCATTAGATTTTGTCTCTCTTTACACGATATTGTACAGATTTTTTTAAAACTTGATGTTGGGTTCCTCAGAATCAAATTTATTCCATGTCTAAATAAATGACAAAGGAAGTGGGCGGGGGAAAAAGGATGTGGGTGGGAGGAAAAACTAGACTTTTTCATTCTTTCTTAGGCTCCTCAGTTTTCATCAATCTAGACCTAGATCTGCAGTGTTCATGATTAGCTAGCCTATAGCTTAACATGCAACCCCCAAATTAGGCATAATCAACTCTATATTTTTCATGAACAGAAAGGGAGACTTTTTGCTACAGGCAGACTTTAAGTGGTTGCAATGATAGCAGGTCTTGTATCTTTTCTTTCTTTTTCCTCTAAGACTGAAAGAATTTGGTACAGGAATAAATGTAATTTGACATTCCTCATCGCGTGATATTTTTTATTTTATTTTTTTATTTTTTTATTTTTTTTGTTTTTAATCATTTTTTTCCTTCTAAATATCAAATAAACATTGAAGGCATGGCAAAAACTATATCGACACATTTCTCGACCCTAGTCCAGTCCAGAATTTAAACTTTGGACTCAATACTATTAACAAGGCCTTTGTGTGATACCTTTTGTACCTAAAGATGAGTCATGGTTCGGTGTGAAACGCATTTAAAGGTTTGTGGCTTTTATTCTTGCACTATATCGCATTTATATTCATTTCCTGAGAAAATATGGGGGTAAAAATGCAGTAATTTGCCCATAATTTGCCGGTAATTTACGATAATAACATTTAACTGAGGAATCATGAATTATTCTCAATTCATGCACATATTCATGATTTGTAATTACTCAGTTTCTTTCTGTAGAAAAGGAAGGTGCGCTGGTGTTGTCTTCTATACGTGTCGATTAATCTAGATTGTTATAATTTTATGATAAGAAAAAAACCAGTACAAACCCTATACCTCTGGTATGTGGGTCTCCTTAAAGGTAGAGCACATTGTTCAGAAAATGGTTCCAATCTGAAAGTAGAACAACAACCCACATAGAGTGAAAGATCACCTGCATGTACAGTATACATGAATACATGTACATGAATAGCAGCTTTTCATTCATGTGTGCTAAAGAGACCCTTTAGGTGCAGATGTCTACCATAAACCTGTTTACTAATGTACCTCAATTAATGCATGTCTCTCTCTAGAACCTTCTGGTTACAAACTATTTAATTCATACATTATAACATCTGTACAGATGGAGGGTGTTTCACAAAGCCTTTTTTCAATGATGGACTACACTTTGAATACATTAGGCTTTGCTTTGTCTGGCGAGCATTTGAGCCGTTTGGGAAAAACTTTCAGAAAGAAAAAACACAGCAGCTTTTTTATGCGATGGTTTACGATGACCCATCATATCTGAACAAACCTTGATGGTATATTGTGTAGATTAATTCTCTAGATATATTAAACAAAAAAAAATGATATGCCTTAACTATGGATAGACTCTTGCAAGACATCTAAATAATATATTTACATACATGTACATGTACATTCAGGCCTTAAATTTCGTCATTTTTAGGGCAAGGCCAGTTTGGCCTTGAGTACCTCATATTTTTAAGGGCACCAAGGCCAAAATATTTTTACAAAAAGGGCATCGAGGCCAAAATATTTTACAAAAAGGGCATCGAGTATGAGGCCAAAAAAATTGATTCTATTTTTGTTAGATGTCATGTGTATTTTATGAAACTTGTGCGGGATCAATTTCCCATGACTTTTAGCACCAGCTTCTTCACAGAATGTATAGAGGTCTACGGTACGTACAAACAAGGCAGCGGCCCGCAAGCCTTAGATTTAGCAGCCAGGAGCAAGGGGCAATTTTTTTTTTAAGTTGCCCTTTGCCACGGGAATTTACCAGAGCAAGGGGCAATTTTCCAAAAACAGATAGGCCCCTTATCTAATCATAAGTTCAAAGAGAGTCTACAAAATGTTAATTTCATAATGTAAATAGATCGAACGATCAATTTAATAACTTTTTAATCTTAACAATATGAACAGGAAAGATTGATTAAGAACATCAAACTTGCACATTAAACAGTATTTTAAAGTTACTAAAAATATTGATGAGCAAATGAATAAATAAATTGTCAATTTCACAAACATCGAAAGTCAGAAGGACTTGGCAAGTTTACCGGGCCGGGTATCCCAAATCAAAATCGCACCTCACACACAAACCTTCCGCCACTCTCTCGGTACTACTACTAGTAGTAGGAGCAAATTTGAAGAAATTATCTTTTTAACCGTTGTATAGAAAGGTCTAGATAGGCCTAACTAATGAAATAAGATGTAAAAATGTCCTTATAGACATTCGACAGCTGAAAGTGACACGCTCAGCTCAGTTGCGTAACGTGCATTCACGAAACCAAAATCGTTCCTCGCACACACACTCTCGCCACTTTTGGTGGGAAGCTGTCGGGCTGGAAGTTTGCCAGCGAAACCGATGCACCCTCGGAATTTTACCGGGACTCGAAACGTTCGTCTTGGGAAGCTGGCGGGGTAGCTTTTTGAAGCGAGGTCGGCTGGTGGCAAAATGAGAGTAACTGCGATCGAGAACATCGTAGGTGTTCTTAACTTATTTATAAGATAATTCTAAATTCTATTTGAGATAAAATAATAAACTAGACCTACAAACAAACCTCGACAGATCTCTAATGACTATTTAAATGCTTGTTTATTTCTCCATTTGACGATTTGTTTTCTTGATCCTGGCCTTCAATTTGTACGTGCGTGCGTCAACAGCATGCACCATATGCATATCATCCGATCGCACGTACGTGCGCAAGCGCTAGCGCATTGCCTATATAATAACAAAGGGCGCATTTTCACGGCACTTGCACTAAATACGAAGCTAGAAGAGAGCTCGTGGGCGGCAAACTGTTCGTGATTCGTGTATTTTTACTGTTCTAATAATTTATGGGCGCATTTTCACGGAAAACACTTGCGCCTTGCCGTCTAGTTTTAGATGATTATGGGCGCAATTGGTGGTTTTATGTGCGCAAATTTAAAAAAAAAGGGGCACGTCCAGTTGGAAAAAAAGGCACGTCGGCCAGTTTGATAAAAAAGGGCACGGCCTTTTTGGCCGTGAATTTATCTTTTTTTGGGAGGGCACCGCGGCCAGTCATAGGGGCATCGACGGCCTGGCCGTCGATGGCCGTCGATTAATTTAAGGCCTGTACATTGTACATGTACATTAGTCCACCTAAATGTTGCATGCAGAAGGCCTACAATTGTAGTTTGGAATACTATATATAAAAAAAAGCCCATCTACCACATGTATGCATACCGTAGCTTTGTGTGTACACTTGAAATTACTTATGAAAAAGTTGATTAGATTTGCCTTTTGTTTGCCATTAGTCAGCGTTGCTACGGTTGCTTGGAGACATGTAAATTTACAATCCACAAGTAACTGTTTCAAAATGCAGTTCAGCTTATTTCAGATTCTAGATTCATTCTCTTTTCCTACCTGTATGCAAAATATACTGGCTTGAATAGACATTTGAAATCTACTCTTGTCTGCATGAATGTTGTAAGCAGAGAATGAAATGAATGTGAAATCGACTCGCATGTAGTTTTCATCACAAGTGTAAGTTACAGCATGGAACATAGCAAGTGATTGGTACTACAGAATTACATGACACACGCACGAACCACAGTAGATTTCATCTACACTGTACGAACATGTACATTTAAATACCTGTGGAATTCTGAAGTTCTTTATTTTACATTGAAGAACAGGGCAGTGTGTCACGAAACAAACCGTCATCAGGACATGTTCAACGATCCATTGAAACACATGTCCATTTCAGTACACACGTACTGTGTGATCCACAATTCCACATTCCATGTACACACAGGTAGTCGAGCAGTATGGCATATTTTTTAACCCACAGCCTACAGAATCCATGTCATTCCTGTGCTATAGTACTTGAACATTTGAAGCACAGGGCAATGAAAGACTTTAACAGTCAACAGGTTAACAAAAAATGTGGAGACCAACCAAATTGTATTTGAATTTATTAGTGATTACAGGATTTATCACAGTATGCTTGAAGTAATTCTTTTCAAACTTTTAAGTCTTGTTCAGATATGACGTGTCACGTAATAAACCGCCACAAAAAGGATGCCACGTTTCTTTTTTTTTTTTAT